TCGATGTTAAGCCTAACGAAGACTATTGTATCGTTAAAAATTAATTTTTTATTTTGTACAAACAAAATAAATATATTGAAAAATATAAAAACAATAAAAAATTATACTTCAGAAGTTAATTTAGTATCAAAAACGTAAAATATTTGAGTAGCCCAAGACATAGCCAAAGATTGCAGTGCCACAGCACTGGCAAAAATTTAAATTTGCCGACTGGAATTCTTTTGGATAATTGACTTTCGGATAATCGATGCTCTACTGTATATTATTGCATACTTGATTTGAATAGTATAAATAAATAAACTTTATCATAAATTTGTTAATTAATAAAATTATAAATTAAATATTTAATCTATATTTCATTAATAGCTACTCTTCAGATACCTTATGTGGCACTAATACATGGAATAACAATGGGCGGGGTAAGTGCTATTTTATATTAACTGAAAAAAGAAAAAAAAAAACGTTGATTTTAACTTAAAATTAAATATAAAGTTGAGAAATGTGATACATCATTTACAGTTTAAGATTGGTTTATGTAATGAGAATACTGAGGGTGTATATTCAAATCTTTAAAAATCTTTCTGTGAATTGTTTTGGTCTGTTCAATGTGTACTTGCTGTTTGGCAACAAGCCTACATTGCCGTTTTCATGAGTCAAACACTTGTTTACATTTTTCAGAGATTACATTTGACCATTCATCTTTAAGTACTTTCCAAAGATCATTCAAAGTTGCAGCAAGTCAGTGGAAAGGTCATTGTTTAAGGAATCCAAAACTGAAGAAATTTAAAGGACTGATGTCCAGTGATTTAGTAGGAATATCCTGTATCCTGTTTTATATATATAATTGAGATCTGTAGAAGCTTTCAGATGTTTGAGATACTCCTCAGTTTTCTTTGCAGTGTGAGAAGAGGTTTTGTTATGATGGAAAACAACTTTGACCATCTCTCCTGGGTACATGTGAAGAACTTTTCTTTCTAAATATGGCTTCAATACATTGCTGATATAATAGTTAGCATTTACCTTAACTTTATTTGGGACTTCTGTAAGAGGAAGTGTTCCTCTTTCAGTCATTCCATCAATGATCATAAACCTGGCCAGCATTCGTAGCACTTTGTCAAACAAATTTTGGAACATTTTGACCAGGAAAGGGGTAACAGATCTTCCAAACTCCATTACACTAGCTTAAGTAGAAATATGCTTTATTCAATGTCACCATAAATTCTGATCTACCTGCTGCCAGGTGTTGCTTGTACAGTTTGTGAGCATTTGTCTTGTGATTTTGTTTGTGTTTTGCAGAAAGATAATGTACTTTAGTCTTCTGTACTTTTTTTGCTTTCAAATCCTTATGAATTATGTTTTGTGCAGACCTCTAGCAAGTTCCAATTTGCTTCACAATGTTTCTGATACTTGGAGAGTTTGGTGTAGACAGTAGTTTGCAGACCTTTTCAGAATTAGCTTTGCATTGTGCAGGCCTAGGTTTTGAACAAAGTTTTAAATAATCCCCATTTTCTGCATTCCATTGTGTTTTTGTATGAGAACAAATAATATTTCTTACTGTCTTCTGACTTATAGCAACAGAACTAGATATTAGTTATTTTGTGATCTCTCTGGAAGTCAATCCCTGTTCAGAAAGCTCTTTTACATATATATCAATATCCTGATTTTTGTGCAATGCCATTTTATCAAATTTTTTTATGCAAACAATTTTATGATATCAAAAAGACTTAGGGGGCAACCACAAAAAATCTCATGAGTTTTGGCATTGCCAATTAAAAGATATAACACGGTAAAGTTGAGTAATATTTGAGTATACACCCTCGGTATAGACAAAGTATATCTCTAACTTAAAGGACTACAAGAAACTGTAAAACATTTTATTACATATACTATTTAAAAAAAAATCTGTCTTATGATATTATAAATGCCAAATAACAAAAAAAGAAAACAATTTAAGATTTGAGATTAAAGTATATTTGATATTAGTACTTTCAATAATTCATCATCATCATCATCATCATCATGAGCTTGGAATATGTTACTGTATTCAAACACTGACAATTTTTGTTAAATAATACTATATGTTTGATGTGTCATTATTATCCATTTTATTAAGAATTTTCTAAGAATGAGATACTATACTAAGCTTTTTTAATTTTAAATTATATTTAATATCTCATAACAGAAAAATTTTGCTATTTGAATATAACATATTTATGTTATCCTATATTTTCATTAGACATTGTATTAATTATTAATTATTGTTATTGTAATTTTGTTTTTATATATGCTTTCATTATGTACTGTACAGTACAGTATATCTGGTTTCTCTTATTTAAAACAGTTGCTACTGAATCTATTGTATTAATTGATAAATTCATGAGATGATGGCTGAATTATTTTATGTTCATGCAAAGGCCCTCTCTGTTGAAAAAAATATTCTATTTTATACATTGTGATCAATTTGTTTAATAGTTACATTTGTCCAAATTGTCCCCTAAATGCCTTTTCTGCTTTACATAGTGTCATTTTTTTTCCATGTTGACTTTTGGAAGCTAAAATTTCTCTTTACAAAATATTTCTGCATTTTTTGTGAAATGTATTTTGCAAATTATAGAATTTTTGAATCTTTAACTGTAATAAACAAATAAACAAGTCTACATAAGGATATTGTAATTTTAATATATGAATAATAGAAAATACTATTAGGTTGTTTGGAAAGTAAATTCGTTTTTTTTACCACTAGACAGATTAGTCGTACTTTTCTACTGTATTATCATTATATATTTTGGCAGCTAGCGTTTTAAGGCTTATTTCTAAAAAATTTTGTTTGATTTTGTGCAATTGTTTATTTTTTGTGTTCCATCAAATATGGAAGATCGAAAGCATCATTTTTGGCATATTTTGCTTTTTTATTACCGAAATGGTAAGAATTCTGTTCAAGCAAGAAAAAAATTGTGTGAGTTGTATGGAGATGATGTATTGACAGAATGACAGTGCCAAAACTGGTTTACAAAATTTCGTTCTGGCAATTTCAATATTGAAAATACACCATGTTCTGGATGGCCAGTTGAAGCCAATATAAACAAAATAAAGGTACTGATTGAAGCAAACTGCCGAATAACAACATGTGAAATCACTAAGAGTTTAAATTTGTAAAATTGAACTGTTTATGATTACTTGAAACAAATTGGTTTCGTTTCAAAGCTTGATATATGGGTTCCACATGTTCTTAAAGAGAGATGTTCTCTTTGGTGAGATTTTAAGGAAATTTTTTTTTTTGGAGCTTTTACCAGACAATTTAACAATTGATTCGAAAGTGTACTGCCATTAAGTAAACAAATTGAGTAATATCATCAAACAGAAAAGGCAACCAGAATTGATCAACAAAACAGGTGTAGTGTTTTATCACGATAATGTCAAATTTCACACAGGTTTGGTAACTGGTCAGAAACTGTTATAACTTTGATGGGACATGCTATTACACCAACCATATTCGCCAGATTGAGCACACTCAGATTATTACTTGTTCCGGTCTACACAAATTTTTTTTAACTGTAAGACATTTACTTGAAATGGCAATGTCAAAAATCACTTGGATCAGTATTTTGTAAGCAATGATCAAAACTTTTATGAATGTGAAATCATGCTACTATCAGAAATGATGACAACAGATAATTGACCAAAATGGTTGATATATAATTCAATAAAGTATTTATTTATTATAAAAATATTGTATTTTTTTCCATGGAAAAAAATGAACTTACTTTCCGAACAACCCAATATATTTTATGTTGATTTAAAAAGATCTGATTTTGTTTATCTTAAGGAATAGCAAATATTGTTGATTCTGTCATAATGAAATGCCTATACATTGCAGTAATCACAAATATCATTTCTTAACAAATACAAATTTTTAGAAATTCATTATATGCAAATTCTACACATTTGTATTGTATAAATGTGTAGAAGTTGCAATTTTTAACATATTAATTAAATAAATTAGTTTATTTTCTATATCTAATTGTATTTGTTATTACTATTTTACTTCTATATTTATATCTACATTTGTTTTGACAATTATAATTTATTAAATAACATTTTTTATAGGGTGTTGGTCTTTCTGTCCATGGTGCATTCAGGGTTGCCACTGAAAAAACTGTTTTTGCAATGCCAGAAACAGCAATTGGTAAGTATGTAATTTTAGAATGTTTTTTGCTAAATTTATATAATTTCTGTATGCATGTGTAATTTAATGTAATTTTAAATATTCATATTTGTTTAAAATAAATCTATACAATAAATACAGTATTTTGCAAACTGAATGGATCTAAGTTGCCATTTGCTGTCTCCTACCTTTTTGTGGCTACTGGAATCTTTGGCATTTAGCTATCCATACAATGTAAAAAAAAAAGAAATTAAAATCAGACAATACTTTGTAATTTCTTTACAGTAGATCATAACTAATTTTAAAAATGGAAAATTACTGCATAATCAGTAACTAGAAAAATACGTTATTATTTAAATCTCATTTTTTGAATTTAATTATTTAATAAATTGAAAACTTTACACTCTGATATCAATATAATTGATTCAACCAAAAATTGATTTAAGAGAATTATTTTATTCTGCAGAGGAATGTTTTTGTAAATTATTAGCATTGTTCTTGTTTGTTTTCTACTTAAATTTTCAAAGAACATATTGTAAAAAGTTCTGTAGAACTTTTATAATACATTCTGTAGAAATTATATGTTATTAGTTTCTGTTTCAAGCATATAGTATTGTTTTTTTATGGACTTATCATACAGGAACACTGGAGACAATATGGATGAATTCAGACTTTATTGATATTAATTACAAGAAAATGTATTTCAGGTGTCCCTCATCAGTTCTTATTACTTTAGTATTAAGAACTGATTAGGGCTAGACTAATAATAATAGTTACTTTTAGTACATAATACTATTAATACTATTAGTAGTAGGTACTAAAAGTAATAAAAGCTGTTGAATGAAAACACCACTATAAGCTTTTTTCTTTTAAATTTGTATGCTAGTAAAAAAGTGAATAATATTAATAATAACAAATAAAATAGAATTTTGCATGATTCATGTAACATGTTGAGGTATGCTTTTTACACAATTGAATGTTTTGCTTTTACACTGAAAAGCATTTTCATCATGTATCACATATGTTAAAAGATGAGTAAGAGATTCAATAGTAAAACCTTACTTTGTATCAAAATTTACCAACAAAGGCTTTTTGATAATTAGTGATTACACAATACATTTAATAGAAAGAAATACACAATCCTCTATTACATACTGTGAAAATTTGATATGTATTCTGTTGATGCTTGGATCATCTAGGTTCCATTACTAGGTGAAATGTATGATCTAGTAGAAATTTAGACGTGCTTTAAACAGAACTTAAACTGGATCACAAAAATCATTTGGAAACACAAATTTTGGGATTTGCTATTTTAATTTGTACGTTTGCACCTTAAGCACATGGCATGCATTGCCATGACTTATGCGTGGGTGTTGCATAGATCATTTTACAGGAGGAACTAATAAGTCTTAACTTTGCATCTAGCATTGCTGAAAATTAATTTTATAAACCTCTATCTTTTAAGTCTCTAAAAGAATCATTGACCTTGTTTCTTTACTTAGAGCCCCAAAAGAAATCAGCCCTTTTCTTATTAAACACAAAGCCCATAAGTGGATTTGGAAAAATAACAAAATTTGCAAAAAATAATTAAGAAAGCACTTTCATAAACTTACTTCGTCACTTCCTTAAATACATCTGTTCATTTGGTGGTAGTATTTTGCTATGTTCTGTCACATTACATCAAGTTGATACAGGATTGTATAATTCACCATTACTGGGAAAATTGCATAATGTAAAGTTAAAGCATAGGTCTTTCATTATTTTTTTTTTCAAGATATTATGTTTGGATAGATTTTATTGCTTAAGAAACTAAACTATTTTTTTGTAGAAAAGCTAATCATAATTTTAGAAGATTATTAAATAGAGTTTGCAAAGTTTTAAATTAAGAAATACCTTGAATGAGTTTTTATGTTTTTCTATGTTGTATTTTTATGAGTCTGACACATTGTATTAGGACCACAATTAGAATATTAAATCAGTAATTGGTAAACATCAAGAGAATGTTTAGAAAAATAAAAATATGCAAGTAGAATTAATAATAAAAACTTTGCAGATAATTTTAAATTTTATATGCAGTTAGTAAACAATATGTTAAACAAAGAAATTTTAATAAAAACACTTAAAGAAAAAAATTTTTACCTAAACTAACCAATTTTTTTCAGTTAACATCATCAAACATAGCCTGGCCTGAACACAATGCAACTTTATCAAAGTTTCAGCAATGTACAGTACATTGCAAATATTTGATGCAATCTCGCTTACGAAAAACTTTTCTCTAGTGTTTGTCGTGAGGGTTGTTTATGATTGGAGTTGTATGTAGCTGCTATAAACTAGCCAACAATGCTTTAAAAGTACAATTTGTTACAGAAAAAGCACTTTTGTATGAATATCACATCTATTTATAAGTGGAATGCTATTTATTATTGTCTGTATGAATAAATAAAAATATCTAACATATTTATTCTATTTTGGAAATTTATGAACGGAACTGACTGAAATTTTGTAGTTACTGAAAGCAAAATTCTATTGATTTACATAATGTAAAAGTTATAATAAGCAAAAACTTGAATCAGAAACCATATAACAGAAAGGAGACGGCTATTCATTTGAAAAAGTTAATGTTAATTGGGCTGCAATTTGAAAAAATTGTATACCTATAAATTCTCACTGTCATCTGTCTGTCCTTCCTTAATCTTGAGAATGAAGTTAGATAAATGAAAGCCAAGACCAGATATGGAAAGATAAGTGGCAGGAGGCCCCCAATTAACTATATATGAACTTCCAATGCAAACCAGAAGTCACATTATTTCAATTCAAAATTTTTTTCCTGAAAGGAGTTAAATAGATGACTGGCACAACTCTATTACTGACAGGAAAAGTATGATGTACAGGGGCAAGACACTACTAATTTGAGGGATAGCATTAGCAAAGCCTCTTTTATGTGGCTTACAGAATTGTGTTTATTCTCAAAAGCTGTTCAATGAATTTTGATTAAACTTTGTCATTTTCTATTAATTGCAATGAGGAATCCAAAAATGTAATAAAAAATGGGGTCTAAGTCTTTGTTTTCAAGATATAAGGTCGTTTTGCAAACATGCATGACAAAGTGTTAATGCACAAATTGTGCAACTTTGTTGTGTGATCTTTTATGGTCATCAGTACATCTTCTATGGGCTTATAGAATTGAGTTTGTTCTCAACATTTAATGGGGCGATTTTGATAAAACTTCGCCGTTTACCATTAATTGAGATGAAGAATTCAGAAATGTATTGATGGTCCATTTAAATATAAAAAATGGAATTCATGACTTTGTTTTCAATATACAAAGGGATTAAAGTGACAATGTCTGTGCTCTCTGATATGACTGAGCACTCCTAATGGAATTTAGACTAGGAGTCAAAAATAAAATCAGCATTGCACATGACTAACAGAAAATAGGCACAATAAACCATCAAAACACACAAACAAAGCAATTGATGGTGATTGCTTTGTTCTTGTATCACCTCTATGTGTTGGCAAATGCAAGGATTGTCTCTTTGTACCTGGCCAGTGCAAGATATCATGTCTTCCATGGCCAACAGGTAGGATGATTACCTCTTTTGTGGCAACAAGTACAAAGTTCAACTGTCCATGTTCATTAGGTGTAAGGATTGCCTCTTCTGTGCCTTACAAGTGCAGGAATCACTTTTTCTTTCCAGCTCCACCTCCATTCTATCACAATGTTGCAAGATGTCCTAGTTTAAATTAAATAAATTTTAAAAATATGATTAAAAATTGCAGCCCAGTATAGTGACTATGTCACAATGACTAATTGCTCGTTTGGTTTTACTATATTATAAAGTAAATGCGAATTTTGGAAGAAAAGATAGAGATTAGACATTTTTTGTTTTAAATTATTTATTCATTTATAATTGTAATACAATAAAAATTTACTACAGAAAGCATCTTTGAAAGTTTTTCTTTTGCATTCTCGATAGAATATAATAATGAATTATGACAGAGTTTTCTTTAGAAAATGGTCTAGATAAAAAGCACATAGTAAATAATGCAGTCTCAGACNAATATTTATTTAACTATGAAATTTTATAGGCTTTTTCCCTGATGTTGGTGGAAGTTATTTCTTACCACGTTTGCCAGGTAAACTTGGATTATACCTGGCTCTGACTGGATTTAGACTTTCTGGTCGAGATGTTCTTAAATCTGCAATTGCAACTCATTTTGTTTCTAGTGAAAGGGTTTGTATATTATAAAAAAAGTATTCAAAATTAAATATTTGATAAACTGAATATAATCTTTTGTTTTAATCTTTTACATTTTATAGTTAAAAGATTTGGAAAGTGACCTGCTCAGAATCCCAAATCCAACTCTCCAAACTGTTGATAAGGTTTTGCTTAAATTTGATTTTCAAGTAAGTTTAAATGGATACTAAAATATAATTAGTATGATTTTTCTAATGAATTTTTAGTGATATTAAAATAAGTTATTGTCTTTTTACAATGTGAATAGAAAAAATTAAATATAAATATTTCAAAACACAAATATTTAATACATTTTATCAGTAATAAATGAATTTACTTCTTGTTATTAAAGCTTATAGTTTTTTGAAAAATATTTAAGAATTAAGTTTGGAAGAATAGGAACAAAAATACTTTTAACATTTAATACTAGTTTAAAGATTGTTGACACAGTCTCTTTTAAATGTGATGTACAAATTTTTCATAGTATCTGAATTAGCATACACATGGTGTTTTATAATTAAATTGACCCTATTCAGACTGGGGATGGTTCTAATGGACATATGTTGATGAAAGTTGGTATACATATTATTTGCACTATGAGGAATTCTGGTACAAAAATTAATGTGTTATATTCTCTATAAGTCAAATTTGACATTCTTGTGAAGTTTCTTCAGTTATTCAAAAATTCCAGTTATACAACTGATCAAATTAGCTTTATCTTTTCTTTACAGAAAAGGAGCATGATAAAAAACTTCTTAAACTTCTCTAAAGAAAAAGTAAAGTTAATTTGATCAGTTTAACTGGCTTTTTTGAATAATCAGAGCAACCTCACAAGCATGTCGAATTTGGCTTATAGAGGATATAACATTAATATTATGGTTTTCCACAGAAAAGTTTAATTAAAAACTAGTTCAAACTTTTGCTATTAGATGAAAATATGGCAGTTTAAGAACAAAAACCATAAATCAGTAAAGCAAAATGTTATTTTATATCACATATTTATTTGGTGAGCCATGTTGGAAGTGTAATATGGTATGCTCAATTGTTGCATGAAGCATTTTGTGGGTATATTGACAGTATGTTGTGTTATTCTGGTCTACTTCTGAGGCAGAGACTGTTATAGTTCAGGTATGTTGTTTTTACAGTAATTTGCATAACATCACATCACTGCAATTTTCCTGAAGCATCATATTTTTGCCTAGAGATCAAAATTTGAACTAATTTTTGTTTTCAGAAATCTATTTCCTGTAGTGTGAATAACATATATTGATGAAGCCTGGTGGCTTCATCAACATGTGTCTATTGAGCTGGCTCCAACAGGCTATGAGTATGATCAGTTAATTACAACACCCTGTAGTTTAACTATTGAATGTTTTCTTGTGTCATCTACGTTTTGTGTACATTAGTTGTAATTAAAATTTTTTCAAAGAAACTGTTTCTTTCTTTTCCTTTATTTTATACATACATATAATCATTTGGTATTGGAACAGATTTTAATGTAAAATAATTTATTGTTATTTTGTCTCACAATCTTTGTATTTTTCTTTAGTTTTCTCTATTACAGTTTATGCAAACATTTTGCATTTTCTATATCAGTTATATTGATGATGATATTTATTTTTGATTTTCTAATAAATACAATTTTTTCATCTAATTTTATTAGAAAAAATGTTTCTCTGTTATTAATCACAATTTTTATTCACTACAAAAGTTTAATTGTTATAGAATTATAGGAATTATTATAAATTTCTGTAAATTTTTAGCATAGAATGAAGTGCAAGTTGGTTTGTCCAATCCCTTATAATGATTAATAAAATAAAAGTGATTATTTCTATTCTATAATATTCTAAATAATCTCAACTTTTTTTTTTGATTATAGAAGTATCATTATAAACTTATTTTGAAAAGAATATTAATATCAAATCATTATATAATTAAATGGCACAGATTTTATCAAGCATTTTGTAAATTTGATTCTAGTTAAATATCTAAATATTAGATGTTTAAATAGAATAAAAACATTTAAGAAAATGCCAAGTAATGACTAAATTTTTTAATATATTAATACAAAATTTATTTAAATGTAAACAAAATAGTATTGTTATTTTGTAATTGAAATTAGCATATATGAATTACATATAATAGTAAAAATTTGAATTTGTAGCATTTAAATTATTTTTATTAAGTATAAATTTGTGAATTATTTCTCTCTATTTTTAAAATTTCATTGTTTATTTCAGTGTGAAAATGAGCATAAAAAAGAATTTGCATTAAAACATGATAAAGGAAAAATTAATAATGTATTTGCTGGTGATAGTATAGAAGATATTTTCCAGAATCTAGAAAAAGATGGTACAGAATGGTCAAAGAAACAATTGGAAACATTGAGTAAAATGGTTTGTGCATGATTTTTTTTAAAAATCTAATTTATAGAACTACTTTGAAATTAAAATTTTTAAATCAGTGGAATTATAAATAATTTATTGCAAATGAAATTATTTAGTAAAAAGATATTCATTTCATAAGTAACTCATAAATATTTATTATCTATTAAATATACAAAGACAAATTAAAAAAGAGTGAGAATGAATTTATTACTCATGAAATATGTTAAACATGGTTCAGGTTGATATGGCCTTTTTTTGAAGTAGTTCCCATTGAGTTGTATGCGCTTGCAGCATAGCTGTCAATCTGGAAAACATGCTGAAACTTGTCTTTTGACATCATCTTCAGAACTTCTTCTGACTTTTTCAGAACAGTTGTTGATAAGCTGAAATACTGGCCCCACAGCTCCAATTTCAGATGAGTGAACAATAAAGTCACATGGAGCAAGATGTAGGCTGTGTAGAGGTTATGGCACACATTCAATGTTTTGTGAAGCAATATTGGCAACATGAGGACTTGCATTATTGTTGTATAGGACCAACCAGATATGAAGTTTAGAGCTTTTTTTGTCAGATGTATTTGTCCAGGGTTTTCAAAACTGTCATGTGATACCAGTAACTATTCTGTAATTGTTGTATGCAGAGGAATTTCATGTTGGTAAACCATTCCACTGTAGTTTAAGAAGGAAATTATTATTACCTTTACTACAGATCAAACAATCTTGGCCTTAGGCTATGGGGAAATGTATATCAAACCATCAAATGTTGAATGTGGTCATTCTCTAAACAGCTGTGTGACATATTTTTTTGTTCCCTCTTTTGAAATTGGAGCCATGAGTCAGTGTTTCAGCTCATCAATGGTCACTCTGAAGAAGTCAGAAGCAGTTCTGAAGATGTCAAAAGAGGTTTCAGCACATCTTTCAGGACTGGCAGATGCGTTGAACCAATACATACAACTCAATGGGGAGTACTTGGAAAAAGGCCATATCAACCTTGACCCTGACTAATGTACTTTGTGAGTAATAAATTTATTCTTTCTCTTTTTCTGACTTGTTCTAATATATAATTTAAATTTTATTTACTTTCAAGATGTTTTGTTAATGTTGCCCTCCTTAGAAAAGAATACAGTCGACCCCCCATAACGCAGTAGATACGTTCCAGTTTTTCTAAGAGTCCTTAAATACATGAGCCAATCACAACCTGGCACGTATGCAGTTTACGGACTACGGCTGTTTGAAAGGTTTTCTTCCATAAAATTAATAGATTCTAGACTAATTTGACTCAACATTTCCAAAACATGTATAATTTTTTGGTAATAATCCATATAAACTATGCTATAAACAAAAAGTTGTAGGATTACTTACCAAGTGTGCACCGTTCGATGATGCCATTGCTTAAGCTTGTTTTTGTCGTGGAGCAGTGCATCGAATGGCACTCGTGTACTTCCTGATAAATTATTTTTCTGCAAAAACCTTGTTGAACTTAAGAGACATCATTAATGTAAATATAATTTTTATGGCCGTTAAATAATAAATGGTTTTTAGTAGCTTTGCTGCTAGTTTAAACTCAACGGTTCATGCAATATCCACTATTGGTCTAGATTTGACCAATCCTGTCGCGACACGAGTTGGTGATGATGCTTTACCACATTTTACGAGTTTTTTTAGCGTCTTTATATGAATATGTTCGCAATTTTTTTGTTGCGATATACGAATTCACATTATATGAACCCGTTTTATAGGGGGGGTCTGAAAATGAAAAATGGTACATTGAAAATGATTGAGACGAACAATTTCCTTGATTAAAAAACAATTTTTTAAAGCATAAAAATTTAATTGTTATCTTAATTTTAAATAACTTTTTAAATTTTTCTTTTTCTGATTTGGTGGTTTAGTTTTTATTTAATTTGAAGTTAAATTATTAGTGTTTTTTTTATTGCATCATACAAGTTAATGTAAATAGTTATGAAATTAATATTAAACCTTTTATTTTATTACATAAATTATTTTTAGTCCCCAACATCATTAAAAATTACATTCCATCAACTTAAAGAAGGAGGAAAAATGACACTTCAGGAAGCATTAAATATGGAATATAGATTATCACAACGTTTTATTAAAGATAATGACTTTTTTGAAGGTGTTAGAGCAGGTAATATATATTTTATAACTGTTTGAAAAATCAAATAATTTTTTGATATTATTTATTATATTGTAATTTAATTATCTAAATAATCATTTGAAAATTAATAGCATTGAACCACTATATATATTATTTTTGTAATTTATTAAAAACTTAGCAATTTTTTTTCTCAGCAAAAGAAAATTTTTACTTAAGGAAAATTCCATTACATTTTTTATATTATTTTATTTATCTTTCACTCTTAAAACTTCAAAATATTAATTGAAAGATAAACATAATAAAATATTTAAAATAATAAATTCTCATATAATGAAAGTAGTACAAATAATAAAAATTTAAAATTTTTATATTATTCATATATTACTCAATTGTTGAAAATTGGCATCAAATGATTTTGTTTTGAATTAAACATAGTAAAAACCTGCTTTAATGGTGTAGGAGTTACATAAAATGACTTGAGCACTTTTGAGTATTACTATATATACTGAAATTGTTCAGATTTTAGTATCTCTTAAAATACGGTATATTTGATTTTATGGATTTCAGTAAATACAGTAATTAGATTTTCAACTCTGCAACTTCTTACTTTTTGTATGCTACTTCCATATTTTTTATTTCAACACAGTAATAACAATACCTTAACTTACACTATGCCAGCACTGTTTACTCTTCCAACAAACATTTTCTGTTTACTTCATAAGTCTGCCTCAAATCTGCACTAAAAACAGATATGAGGCTTGTGAAGTGAGCTAAAAACATTTGTTGGAAGAGTAAATAGTGCTGGAGTAGTAAGTTAAGGTGTTGTTATTACTGTGTTGAAATTTGTTTCAGTTTGGATATTTTAATTATATTTCTTATACATGTAAGTATGTGGTCACACAGTATTTCCATTTGGAGAGGTTCAGGTTTGTTTATAAATATTCTTCATTGGCCTGGTACTACTAAGAATTAAACTATTGGCTGCTGCTAAGTTGATTAATTAATACAATTAATAAAATTTTTAAAAAATTTAAAAACTCTCCAATGGGGCTGGAAAATTCAATTTTAAAAAAATTTGTAGAAAGTAATCCTTTCCTTATGATAAGTATTGTTTGAATGTATGAATCATATTGGAATGGGCTGAGGGTTTTTCCTCATATTTTTTATAAATTTTTTAAAGTTGATTAAGCTGACTCCATTGTCATTTGAAGTATCATGCAGGTTTTCTTTCCCAGTTATGTCCTTATAAGTATCCTCTTTCTCAATTTTCATATAAAAATCATCTAGCAATACAAATACATCATTTTTCGGGACTTCTGGATGGTTGTATGTAAATCATCATAAAAATTTTCCTTTACAAAAAAATCTTTACCTTCCATAGACAAAGGATATGTTTGCACATTTGACTTTGATGCAGATGTAACTAATATGCCTGCCTACTACATTAAAGTTCAGAGTGGTGTTCAATTTTCCAGTGGTAAAACCTATACCAAATTCATGTTCAGTAGTATTATTTTCTCTGTATATCAACATATAATTCACATTTAATGATTGATTGATAATTATCTCACGTTATCTAACTAATATTTACAATAATTCCATTTTAAATCATTTAAATTGTAATAATAAATATATTATATCAATATCATAAATATGTTAAATATCATAATATGTTTAATTAAACAATAAGATTTTTATGCAAGAGTTGGCTAGATAGATGTTACACTAGCTTATTGAAGTCTGTTAGGGAAATTCATTGGCATGTAGTAATCTGAACTTATAACATGAGGTGATTTTTTTTAGTCTTTTTTGGAAAAAAACTGTATCTTATACCATAAATATGGTAATTAAAACATTTATTGAAAGTACTGTATTTTTGTGTATATAAACACAGAAATACTTTAAAATTTTTGGTGTATTATTATATATACAAATAAATTATCTTAACTGATTAAATTAATTTTATGGTAATTTTAATATTTTGTAAAACATTTTGAAATTTGCATAACATTTAATTATTTCCAATCTTTCAGTGTTAATTGATAAAGACAACAGTCCAAAATGGAAACCATCCACCATCAATGAAGTTTCAGATGAAATCATCAAAAAATATTTTGAGAAATTGCCTTCCAGCCAAGAACTTCAATTATAACTTTTTTCAAAAATTTCTATTCTGAAGTCAAATTTGAATCAGAAGTTCTTTAAAAAAAGATGTTAAGTAGAGCAGCACTATTCTTTGTTGAACAAGTTTATAATTAGTTTTATTAGCTGCATAGTATTTTTTAAAGTCATCTTTGAAGATATTGTTAATAAATACAAAAATTATCATCAGGAATGACTAAATGGTAGCAAGTATACATGTTGTAATTGATAACTAGAAAGTGTATACAGTTGATTAAAAGAGATATTGCTTAAAATAGATTTGTTTTATTTCTAAATAACTTAAATAAGAAATTTTTTAATTTATTTATAAAAAAAATTTTAATTTTTTTACTCTTTACACCCTGTGGGCACTAAGAGGGCCTCTTTTTGCAAGCCCATTATGGGTTCGGCCTGGCCCACAATGGGGCAGCCAGGTGGTGAGGGATGGGGGCTGACATATCTGGTCAGATCACCTCCCGAAAAATTTCTAGGGATTTTTTTACCCATCTGGATTTGATCCCAGGTCCCCCAGAGCAATAGGCTACCACCTTGGCCATCAGGCCATCATATTTAAAAAATTAAAATTACAATACATTTCAAAATCTTGCTGCAGAAATATGATACTGTCAGCTGCAGCACCGTAACATAATATTTGAAATACTTATTTGATGTTAATACATTATACAAACTTTGATAGTTTGTTTAATGAAGACTTGTCATTGAAAAATAGATATGAAATGCTAACAGATATTTTTGACAGTAACAAGCAAATGTTAAATATTTTCTATCATATATGACAAGTGGGTAAACAATATTTATATATAAAGAATCAAAATTATTTATTCATTATTACTATTCAAAATTTAACATAAATTTTAAATGAAACAATTTAAAAGATGTGAAATTTCAAAAAAAAATTCTAAACTTTGTTTATTTTTTTCAACCTTTGAAAGTTAGGAGAGAGTTTTTTTTTTTTAATTTCATTTTGCATTTTTACTTTCATAAGAGTTTAGTAGAAGTTGTATGAAAAGACAAAAAAATTGGTAAAAGTGTGATAGATAAAAGATGTACAGAGGGAATGGAATTGCAGTAAGAGAAAAATATTGTATATGTGATATCACTCATATTGATATATATACACACACATATGCCTGAAATGACTATTTTTGCATAACTTTGTTTGCATATATAATGTATATATATAATAGTGATGTAGCAATATGAGTTAAGAACCAGTGTGTTCTATTTGACTCAGAGACAATTTACCAAAGAAGAATTTAAGTTCTGCCATTTTTTGCAGATAAAACCAAATTTTGTTGCCAAAACATTAACTCTAGCAGGTACGGTTCATAAAATGGCAAAACTTTATTAATTAATTGGCAGAAGATTGACGATTATCTAAACAAAAACTTGAAAAAAAAAAAAAAAGAACTCTGGTTTTCACCCAGAGTATAACGATGATGAATTTTATAAACATTATTTATCATTAAATTTAGATTGTTTTTTTAATAATATAATGAAATTATATGCCAAAAATGTTAATATTTATTATATTCAAGCTTAAACCTTTTGATAGAAATTAAATCATAAAAGAAGAAAAGTGAATTGGTTAAGTCAGGTTTCTTTCTTTTTATAAAAAAATGTTAAGATTTTCTTTATCTCTCAGTGCAATCTCTTGTAAACTACTTTTTATATTTACTATATAAATATGAAAAATTGAGCTAAGATCTTAATTCAAAGATCCAAAGAAAACTACAGTAAAACCTAATTCAAAGTGATTCCAATTAAAGATGGGAGTATTCAAATTCAAAAAGTTTTCATTATTCCCAAGAACTTGTGCTAAGTATTTGAATACTTGGAGTAAAGGGAGCTTAGTGATGTGGAGCAGGGGACTCCCATTATTGAAGGGCTGCATTGAGCATTGGCTCTATCTGGTAAAAAAGACTGGGAGGTGACCCAAATTTTGCCATCAGGCTCCTCAGCACAGTATAAAATCATAGAGAATACTTGGTCTTTGCCCCATTTCACGGCAATGTAAAAAATTCCATGAATAACCTTGCTCGGACCAATTTGGTCCTTGGGACATCCCATGTGCTGCCCATGTGAAGGCTTGTTTGTTAAGTTATGGCAACTCAATACTTGGGAGATCTGCTTTTTGGGAGGTCTTTTTAAGGGAAACTTGCCCCTATTCAGGTGTTACAGATGTGGAGAAAGCCCAGAAAACTCCACATGGCCAGCCCATCCAAACGAGGTGCAAACTCACCACCGAACTCCGTGTTCAGGGTATGAAAATCGCTTGGCCACTGATGGGTCAACCCATGAAGGAGTGGTGAAGTGGACCACTCAGGATCCAGTGGCTGGTAACCTGGGGAGGGCACATGATTGTAAGTACAGAGCAAGAGGGGTGGCTCTTCGGGCAGAAAAATTGATAAGATTGTTTCTATCAGATTCGAAAAAAGACAACACTTGTAACATAGATGACTTAAAAAAGGGTAGAAACGAAAAAAAATTCCCACGCCGGGAATCGAACCCGGGCCTCCTGGGTGAAAGCCAGGTATCCTAACCACTAGACCACGTGGGAAGTTGGTTGTTATGTCGTCCTCGAACCCTGTTATAATTGCACATTATTCCGCAAGCACGAATCGGTAAGCTTAACGTCTAATTTTGTTCCAATCTAACACCTGGTGCTAGATTGATTTGATGTGTGTGCCAAATGAAAATTAGCACGACGCTCTAACCGACTAAGCTAACGAGCCACGAATAGCCTGCGGTAGCAATGTTCAATAATATATTAACTATATTATAGTTAATATATATGAACTTACGGTGCAAACCGGAAAATCACGTTATTCCAATTCATCAGTTTTCCCCTGAAAGCAGTTAATAGTTGATCGGCACGGCTCTATTGTTAAAGGAAAAGTATGATGTTCAGGAGCAAACCAATACTAATCTGAGACGGAGAGATACATTTTAATTAAAGTAAATAAATTTAAAATATGATTAAAAATTGCAAAAAAAAAATTAATCGCTCTTTTTCTTTACTTTGACATGATGTGTTTAATTTAAATGAACTACGTAACATATCGTCTTCGTAATTTTGAGTGAAAATGTTTCTTTTGTGAACTGTTCTAGAAGAAACAAAAAGCTGTGTATGTTTGTGCCATTCAGAACCGGCCATCGGGGGGAGGGGGGGTGCGGCGGATGCTGTGCACCGGGGCCCCGCGATTGAGGGGCCCTAACATTGTCAAGAATGCACAAGAAAACTCGACAATATTCCTATCGTTGTCAGTATGACGAAAAGTACATTTTATCGTAAACATTATTATTGTAATCTCTGAATTTCGACAATCTTCAAACTAATTCTCGGTGATGCGAATGTTTAGTTTTTGTTATTTGATTCGGGAAACTCCCGAGGATCCCCACCTAAATTCGACTTTAAAATAAAAAAATCTCAATACCATATAGCCCGCGTTAAGAAATGAAAATA